CTTCAGCTTTTACAAACAAGAACAACTTGTCTTTTCTCTGCCTCGTGCCACGCCGTCTTGGCTAACTCGGCGCCAGCCTTTCTCTTCCGAGGGCCGCAATCTGGTTGGTCGATGTCGCCGTTCATGTGGAGCGGTAGAAATCCTACGCGCAACATATATGAGCCCTGGCGATTGGATCATTCCACTGTGTTCCGGCCACGGTAACTCCCTATTTTTCACAGCATACGTCCGAGAGTTGCCATTCAGGGCATCATAGTACTAATTGCAGAGTCATGAGAAAACATATGCAGTTCTCATGCAGTAAGTTCTTTTTTCATCTCTAATATCATTCATTGCTGGCTTCCTCTGTCTGATTTCAATCATTTTCAGGTTGTGTTTCCGAAAACGCCTTTGATGGAGGTGGAGGCTGCTTACCCAGTAACGACAGCGGTCATTGCGGCCTTGACCTTTGGACATTCCGGTGGCCTGCTGCTCGATAGCAACAGCTCGGTAAGCTGACCTGTTTCCGTCTCGAGCGACGGCACTGTCGCAGGCGCAGCGCCGCACACGTGCCAAGGCACGGACACGCGTGTGGGTCGATGGGGATCTTTGGGAGGGGAGGGCGCCCAAGTGGGCCTCCACCCACCCCACCATGTGAACGTCTCTGACGCACACAGGCATCCTCGCCCCTCCGCTTTAAATCCAACTCGCCCCCTTCCCTTCCCCCGTAAGCCGATCCGGGAAAAGGGAAATGGGAAACGGGACAGTGTTAGGCTCGTACTGCCGTAAAAAGAACTGTAACCTCCGTGCGTGATGATGAAACCCCGTCGTCACGCCCAAAGCCCATCGGTAACATAAAAGCCGAAGCTGCTGCTGATGCGGATGATGATCCAGGAGAGGAAACAAGCCAAGCTCGTGACTGTGCTCAAAGCCAATTCAACCAGCTTCCTCCCACTCTTGTTCTTCCTAGGGCTTTTGTGACCGTGAAAACCACATCACGTCATCGTGGTGCGTGAGCTCCTGTCGCAGTATACGGTGGGAAATATATTGCTCACCATCTTAGTGAAAGTTGGTAACAAGGACAACAAAAGACCAGCCATAACGACGACAAGAGAGAGAGAGAGAGAAGAGGGGTTCGACGGGTCTGACCAGTGGAACACCATATGATGGCCTAGGGAAAAGGAAGATGGACATATAGCAGTGGGGTGGATGTGGCCGAGAGAGAGAGAGAGAGAGAGAGAGAGAGAGAGAATAAAAAAGGACTGATCTATTTGAGCAGATCTAGGAGCTACCTATCCTCTCACGAATCTCTCCTCTGTGATAAAAAAGCAGGGAAGCACGGGAGAGAAGTCGAGAGAGCAAGCTATGCAGGGCGCAGTGGCAGCAGACGATGGCGTCCCAGCGGAATTGGGGTGGGTAGGATTAGGAAGGTTGTCGTCGTCGATGCAAATGGGGTCAACCAGTGGCTAGAAGCTGCGACCATTTGAACCACAAGCGAGAGGAGGAGGAGGATGCGAGAGAAAGAAAGAAAGAAAGCGTCTTTATATTTAGTGAAGAGTAAGTGTGCGAGTACCACTAATTTTAAAGAGGGCAAGGGCTCTCCTTTTCTGCCTGCACTTTTCTTGTTTTTTGATGTCTTTTAATGGCAGCTCCACAGAGTTAGCATCAACTTTTAATGCACACTCTCTCTGGTTCTTGTTCCTTTGTAGTAGTATTGCTATAAGAGGCGAAGCGCAGGAGGAGCCGAGGAGGAGGAAGACGAGGAAGAGGGAGGAGGAGGAGGAGTACTCCTTTCAATTTACTTCACTCATGGACGCCTACGAGGCGACGAGGATAGTGTTCTCCAGGATCCAGAACCTGGACCCCAACAACGCTGCCAAGATCATGGGCCTGCTCCTGCTGCAGGAACACGGGGAGAAGGAGATGATTCGCTTGGCCTTCGGCCCCGAGACCCAACTTCATTCCGTGGTCTTGAAGGCTAGGAAGGAGATCGGCCTCGTCTCCGTTCCGACCTCCTCTGCCCCCGGCACGCCTTCCGCCGCCGGCGCTCCTGCTTCCCCCTTCCTCCTCCGCCAAAACTCCGCCTCACGCCTGCTCTCTGGGGGCCTCCCGTCGCCGCTCGCCGTCTCCTCCCCGTCTTCATGGGCTCCGCCTTCCGTGTTCTCCCGCTCCAACAGCGGTACCGGCCTCAATGGGTCGTTGGACGAACTCCAGAACTCTGACGAGCTCATTAGCCCCAGTAACGTGAGCGTCTCGCCCTTTTACGGCGGCGGCGGCGACCTCGTCGATGAGTTCCACCTCCCCGACCAGCTATCCTTTCTCGGGGACCCCGTCGCGGCCCTTGATTCCAGTCACTCCGTTTCTATCACCTCGAAACTCGGCGGCGACATGTTCCACCCGGACATCGAGTGCCGGAGCCCGAGCGGCAACGGCGATGGTGCCCTCTTCCCTTACGGTATGGGCTGGGGTGTCAACGGTTACCACCACCGGCGGAGCTGCTCCGCCGCTGACCTCTGCCTCGGTGACCCGGCCGCCGGGTTCGGATGGAAGCCGTGTCTCTACTTCGCGAGGGGCTACTGCAAGAACGGCACCGCGTGCAGATTCCTCCACGGGCTCCCGGAGGAGGCTGCAGCGGCGGCTGCCGTGGTTGCTGGCACCAAGATGGATGGGGTGGTGGAGCAGCAGTTCCAGGAGCTGCTACTGAGGTCCAAGAGCCAAAGAATAGGTAACGCTTCGCAGCTGATGGCTTCTGCGTTCCCCTACTCCCCGACGGGCTCTGTGCCTCCATCGCCGTCGTCATCCTCGAGCAAATGCCTCAGCTTCTTGCTCCAGCAGCAGCAGCAGCAGCAACAGCAGAATGAGAGCCAAAGGTACCATCTTTCTCCGGTCAAAATGCTTGCAACCTTGGCGCCTATCTCAGCGATGCGTGTTCGAATCAAGAATCTCAAATTACTGCAGGGCGGCAGCTGCGGCAGCCGCAGCAGCGCTGATGCTGGGCGGGGACGAGGCCCACAAGTTCATGGGTAGATCAAGATTAGAAAGAAGCGATTTGATGGCAAATCCTGGTTCGAGGCAGATCTACTTAACCTTCCCAGCTGACAGCACCTTCAGGGAAGAGGATGTCTCCAACTACTTCAGGTTGGTCGGTAATCCTTTCGTTAACGTATGACACAGTCGCCCTTCCTCTTCTTGGAAGTCTAATCTCTGGTTACTGATTCCTTGGTCGGTTTCGTAGCATCTACGGGCCGGTGCAAGACGTGAGGATCCCCTACCAGCAGAAGAGGATGTTCGGCTTCGTGACCTTCGTGTACCCGGAGACCGTGAAGATGATCTTGGCCAAAGGGAACCCCCACTTCGTCTGCGATTCCCGAGTTCTTGTCAAGCCTTACAAGGAGAAGGGCAAGGTCCCCGACAAGTACAGGCAATCCTCCTTCCTCAACCTTCATCACAAGTGATTTATTTTACTTGCTGTGTGGTATGGGTTTTGAGCAGTGCCAGTTAATCTTAACTATGTTCAATGGTGGACTCTCCGACCTCAGGAAGCAGCAGCAGCAGCAGCACGCTGAGAGGGGTGATTTCTCTGCATGCACGACTCCCACGGCCCTGGACGCCAGGGATGCCTATGACCTTCAACTGCTCGGTTGGGTCCTGATAACCAGTCCTGCTTTCTCATCGCTTGTTCTTTGTTTTGGTTAAAGGTTAGTGAAGTCTTGTTCTACGGATATCATAACAGGAGCAAGGATGTTGTACAGCGGCGGCGGCGGACAGGAGCTTCTGCTGAGAAGGAAGCTAGAGGAGCAGCATCAGCAAGCAGCGGAGATGCAGCGGGCCATTGAGCTGCAAGGGAGGCGATTCATGGGCCTCCATCTTGACCTCAGCAACAGAGGCCTCTCCTCCTCAGCCCCGGCCTCCATCAACTCCCCCACCATCGCAGCCGCCCAATCTATCGGTAATGCAGATGGGAGCAGTAATGTCAGCAGCAGCAGCAGCAGTAGCCAGGAAGGATCACCAGCAGAGGGTGGGTTGCTTTGCTTGTGGTCTTTCCTGAATTGGTTGATGTTTCATGTTTCGATGATAGATGCGCTACAGTAGATTTTGTCGCTCATTGTACAGATAAGAAGAGCCTCAGTGCTGCTGCACCAGAAGAGAAGGTGAACAGTGGCCATGGCCTACTCCAGCAGAAGGCAGGGCAGGAGCAATCTGCTCGTGAGGCGAACCCCAATGAAGATGGTGGCTTCCAAGAAAGGTAATTTAACGTCAAGTTCTACGATGTAACACGAACATGGGAGTAGATAAAATGTGTTCTCTTTTCCTCCAAATCAAGAAACGTAAACTTGTCTCACAATTTGGCTGCAGCGCCGAGCATAACTTGCCCGATAGCCCCTTTGCTTCACCACCGACGAAATCCCCGTTCATGCCCGACTCGTTCTCCGCCGGTGAAGACATGAGCACTTGCTGCATCACAAATAATAGCAGCAGCAGCAGCAACAACAGCCACCTAATTGCCTCCACACTGCTGCCCACCACTTCGTCACTGGACGTGCCCTCCTTCAGTAGTTCATGCTTCTTCCAAATGCCAAGGTATCACGGAAAAGATTGTCGTCGAACTAATTCACCAATTGCTGCCTAAAAGGCTTATTTGATCCCGGTTTGTGGCTGTAAGCAGGTTCTCCTCGGGCCATGGAGCCGTCGGAATGTAAAGGTGAAGAAGCAGCCGAGGGGAGCGAGCGAGCCCTGACCATCAACGTAAGGCTTAGTCTCTGCCTCTCTGCCCTTTTTGTCCATCGAAAGACACCACCAGTTGCTCATGACAGCTTCTTTTCCTTTCCAACTTTTGCTTCAATGTTAGCAGGTAACACACCCAGTAAAGCAAAAGGATAGTGGAACACAGGAAAAGAGAAGTTGCTGAACGGTCCAAGGTTTATGGTTCTTTTCACTTTCTTTTTACCGAATAGTAGTTTCCAACCTATATGACCAGCATAGGAAGAAGGCCTTCCATTGTCTCTCCCTCCCCACATCCCTTCATCCACAGTAGGCCTTCCATTGGCAAGGAACAGCTGCCAATCCATGAGTGAGCTATCAATCACCCAATAAACCCATCCATCCATCCATTCATCAACTACTACTACTGCTGCAGCTGCTACTGCTGATGTTGCCATTGCCACCTACTAGTACTAGCTAGCTATAGCTCCCCCTCACCACCCACCAAGATACGTAACAAATCCCCCATACCAAGTACAGACAGCAAACAACATTCACAGAAAGCTGGACTGGTTACGGTGAATGTATAGGCCAGGAGAAAGAAAAAAGAAAAGAAGAGCTGCAGCAGAGGTGAAGAAGGACCACTGGCTTATGAGGAGCAAAAGCAAAGACTTGGAGTTGTACATGCATGCATGCATGCATGCAAGTCCGCCCTGGTCTCCCTCCCTCCCTTGTCTCTCTCTCTCTCTCTCTATCTCAGATATCCTGTCCAATGGCTTTTATTTTTTTTTTTTGTTCTTTGATGATCCAGTGTAGGCGACATCAATATAGTAGACAGAGAAAGGATTCACAAAAAGTTGGAATAATTTCATCTTCTTTTCTCTTTCTTTTGTGGTTCTGCTTCCTTTGTATATTATCGTCAGTTAATCACCTTAATTTCTTGTACTAGTTCAATCTAGAAAACACAATCTTAAAGGAAGAGATGTGTCACAATGATGTGCTAAAATCACACCTGCCAATTTTGCATTGGTGAAATGAGTATCTACTGGTAGCATGTCATGAAAGAGAGAGAGAAGAGAGAGAGAGAGAGAGATTAAAAAGAAAAGGGGGGACAGGGAAAGTAGTCTTTGTACCCATACTTTTCCTGATGGATTTGGGATTATTTCACCTCTCTTTTCACAGCCTATTCATTCTGCATAAGCTATCATGCCAATTGGATTATAACTCTTTAACAGAGAAGCCTTGGTGGAGCTGCAAAGCCTCACACCTATCCATGACATGTATCACCAAGAATTAACAGGTGCTCTCGGTTTGACATCTAATCACATCATGACATTTTTTTCTCCCTCTTTGGATGCAACAATTTGGGGCTAATGAAATGATTTATTTTAATAAAAAATAGGTTAGGAAAATGTAACCTTGGGAGAGGGAGAGGGAGAGGGAGAGAGGGGCATGTTTTGTCCATTTCCACATCATTAATAGACCTGAGATTGGGATGTGCAAGCTATCTCAGCAGAGCATATTCCCCAAAAAAATCATTGAAGCTTTTGTGTCATGTACACTAACTATCAAAGACTGGGATGTCTTAAAAATATGCCTTTGAGCATCCAAGTTTGAAAGCTTGAAAGGGACCAGTCTAATATCTTGAGGTACTTCGGAGCACCCTCAACAATCAACTTTATATTTTGGCTGACTATGACGCGATGGATAATTATTATCGACGATCAACATCTTTTATTAGATAGAATAATAGATTATGCTCGATGAGCAGAGCACGGCCTTTGTATAATGATAAGATTCCTTTGTTTAGACTCTCTCTCTCTCTCTCTCTCTCTCTCTCTCTATTCATAGATGCCTCGTAAGTAAAATATGTTGTATCTTCTCCTCCCTCCAGCCGAGACAAACCAGCAGAGGGAACTAAGCAAACAAAGAGGTGTTGTTGTTGCCACCATTAGTACTTACTTGTTGGTCTTCCCCAGCGGAGAAGAAGAGTGATTCCTATCCGCATGCATGTGCTCTCATGTGCTCCCATCTTTAGACTCTTTCCTTCTCCCAACCTTCATGTAAGGGTAGAAGAAACAGTCAAACCACTGTGCTCCTACACTCTCACATTAAGTATCCATCCGGTTACGTAATAATGTTGGTTTTTGTCTCTCTCTCTCTCTCTCTCTCTCGTTCTCTTCAGCATCTATCAATGACATCCAACCAACCTACCAAATCTGCCAACAGATATAACTATTATCAACTTGTCGGGAGAGTGAATCAGATGAGGCCGGTGAGACTAAGGCGATTCATCATTCTGTTTTCAGAACTTATCCTTAAGAATCACATGGTGGAGCCATCACACATGGAATGGCAGATCATGTTGGTACTGAATGAACCCTGCACCATGACACTGCTTCTTCGTTACGGATTTCCATTCAAAATGTTGATTCTTTCATAAATGTATTGCAAATGCATATTATATATATATATATATATATATATATATATATATATATATATATATATATATATATATATATATA